GGCTTTCTCGTCATGCGAAATGAAAGATCCTATTGGAATAATCAAATAACGTCGTAACAGGAGTACCATATGAAACAGTTGTCAGTGTTAACTTTGCTCCACCACAAACGACCCTTATGACAGGTTTCATTTGTCTGGGCGACCAAGAACACTTCTTCTTAGACGCCATCTGTAAATAAAATTTTCCTTTATCGAGAACCAAGATCTTATTAGTGAACTGCTAATTTAAATACGGCAAATACATGTGTACGGGTTTAGCCGACGTTCTGTCCTTCACGTCGAAACAAAATGTCATTAACTAACTATTGTGATACTATTTGAACAATAACAATTAACATAGTTGCTATGACAGCTAACTCGTGAAACACTACGCGTGTAGCAATAACAGGTAGCTTAATGTCGTTTTATTTCTTTAAAACTCGTTTGTACGGAATTAGCTTCCGTACGGCAATACCCTCCATTCCCCTACTTCTTACATTATATTTTTACATCGTTTAAAGAAGTGGCGCTCGATTTTTTCCACAAGCATTTTCTGTCTATCAGATACCTCTTCCCTTTGAGCGTTTTAGTCGCCACTCAGTATGAGAATCAGATCACATATCGATTTTTCTATAGTACCATCTTTTTTCTGTAACAGCTCCAGAAACACTCTCCCGCCTCTATGAATTTCTTCCGAGCCGGCTTCAACAGCGTCCGTATTAAAATTTCACTTAGCCCGGGAGACAAGAAGCACTGTTATACTTTTTAATGGACATTTCTGGAACAAAATATGTCCCGGCGGCTTTCACTAGATAGGATGAGCATGAATAAAACATCGCTTTGTTATGACTTGTACTCAATTTATTTTAAAGTTTTTCACTTTTTCGATAGGTTCCGCTGAATTTATTACTCCATTTGCCAGAATAAGCTCCGGGTGGAAGTTTCTCGTTCGTTGGGAGATTGTTTTTAGTAGTAAATGAAGTAATGGTGGTATAAAAACTTTTTTGACCAAAAATTATTTACAGTGGACCTCTTAGACAGATTATATATAAATAGGAATACAATTTTATTCTAGACACAAAAGACAGAATTAATTTTCATTATTAAATCTAACAAACTAGGACAACCCTACCTCTTAGCGATCTATCAATTTTACACATTGCATGTACAAGATCCTAGAAAAAAATTTAAACCTCCGCCTTATATGGTACTTAGAAAATAATAATTTTTCGAAAAGGTAGATCCACATAATCAGGTTGCATTACAGACTTCAAATAATGAAGATTTTGTAAATAACTAAAAACTAATAGCAATATTTTTCGATAGGGTATATCGAATATTGAAAGGTACTGGCATTCAGGGTCACATCTTGCATTAAAAAAAAATTAAATCGCTTAATTCCAGTTAGAATAAATGGTGTTACAAGCTTATTTAAGATACTATACAATGAAACTCCTCAAGGTTTGATTATTAGTTCAACTTTATACTTAATCGCTTTTAATAGTATTATGTATGTAATTAAAGCACCCTCAAAGATAGTCTTTATGTAGATGGTATTGTTATTTATAATAAATCGAATAATGTAATGACAGCAACTAAAATTATACAAAGTATAAATATGACATCACAACTAGTATATCATTAAATAATTTACCTTTAGAACAGTCAAAA